TAGCACTAACGGTGTTGTATAATAAATGAAAAGAAAACAGATAGAATACAAAAAGATTAGAAAGCAAGTGTTCAGGTTTTTTAAAGAAAACAAGCAGCAAATGAATAGAGTGCAAGTCTAAAAGGGCCAGGTGTTTTTTTTTTTTGGAGAATAGAATTAGAATGGACAGTGCTAGAGTTAGAGGGTCAAATAAAGATGGAAGAGATGTGTTTTTAGCAGATTCTTGAAGATGGTTAAGGACTCAGCTGCTCGGACTGAGTTGGGCAGGTCATTCCACCAGGAGGGATCATTTAATTTAAAAGTCTGTAAAAGTGATTTTGTGCCTCTTTGGGATGGCACAATAAAGCGACGTTCACTTGCAGAACGCAAGCTTCTAGAGGGCACATAAGTCTGAAATAATGAATTTAGGTCAATTTTGTTGTCTGCTCGCTCGTGTCAACACCTCAAAAGGGCAAGCAATAATTATGATCGAAATCATACGTAATGGAAAAATATCAGCTGAGAAGTAAACTGTTTTTGGTGTTAAAGTAGGCTATTGAAGCCAGCTGATATGATTCTTATATATCTCTTACCATAGCTACTTAAAAATAACCTGCCTACTAGTTATGCAAAGGGTAGCCTACCTAATCAGTTACACCTTTCAGATTCAGATTAGACCAATTTTGTCCCTTATGAAAATTAACCATGGTTTTGTTACAGTAAAAGTGTAGTAACCGTGTGTGTGTGTGTGTGTGCGCGCGTTTTGTGACAAATGAGGACATACATTTGTATAATGACAAAGGTATGACAGGTATTACAAGAAGGTGACTTTTCAGGACATTACCCCATGTCCCCACTTTTCAAAACGCTTATAAATCACACAGAATGGAGTGTATTGAAAATTTGAAATAGCACAAAGTTTCCTGTAAGGGGTAGGTTTAGGGGTAGGGTTGGTGTAGGGCAATAGAATATACGGTCTGTACAGTATAAAAACCATTATGCCTATGGGATGTCCCCACTTTTCACAAAAACAAACCTGTGTGTGTGTGTGTGTTTTATTATTGTATTGATATAATGATATATGGTTAATTTGTGATTAACTATAGTAACTATAGAAAATGATGACCAGTTTTGAAGAAAAAAAATTATGTCTAACTTTTTAAGACTAGTCGAAGCAGTTTATGCAACCAGTCCCTTATCTTATTTGTTAACGAAATAATAAAACGTATCAAAGTATTAAACATGCTACCCTCAAATCATCACCCACTCTATATTTAAAAATTACAGCCTTACAAAAAATCCCTATTTTGTTTTACATTATTTCTCACAATAAGTGTTGGGAATTGGGTCATTTTCTAAAAAAAAATAAATACATTTTTAAATAAAGATTAAAAAGTGTTCAAATGTCATATTGTTCACAGACAATGTAAGACAAGTGAATAACCAGCTAGTACAGAGTGATCAGTTTTTAATCCTTTTTATTATTTTAAACATACCAGCATACATACAAAGAGACTGTGTCATAATGGAAAATAACTAAGGAATGGTTTTAGTGGGGAGGCAGGATGGCTTTAGTCTGGTCAGCCACAAACTTGAGGACGTCTTCAACATGGGTCTGGACCAAGCCGGCCAGGGGGGCGACCTGAGCCTGGACGGAGGCGGCCAGAGGCTTGATGTGGTCTTCAATGTTGCTGGAGAGGGGCTTCAGCTGCTCCTGGAGCTTCTCAACCATGGGCTGGAGCTGGGCTCTGCTCTGCTCAAAGTAAACGCTACAACACAAACCAAAGAGAATTCATAAAAAAAATCAATTCAAATGTATCATTGTGTTGATCATTTAAGTTCACAGTTGAGAAGAAGTTTCCACCACAGTGGATGACAGTAATGGACTTACTTGGCCTTGTTGGCCAGCTCAGTGCCCTCGATGTTCTTCAGGTTGTCCACAAGATCCTGGAAGTACTTGGCGATCTTCTCCAGCTCAGCAGGAGCGTCTCTCTTGACCAGAGAAGCTGACTCAGAGCCTGGAACATGACCAGAGATGTTTGATCAATGCAGTCTTGCATCTTTACTCTCAGCCACTCAAGCTAAATCAGGTGAAAGACTCTGTTATGTTAAGTAGTAAGTACTAATAAAATACCCAGCGCACACATTGTTATAGTTTGTTTATGTAACCCCTAAACTAACTCAGTTACCATACTACAAAACAAAATATCTTGAGAGCATCACATGTTAACATGGTGTAAAGTCTCACCAATGGCCAGAGCAACGACAAGGACGGCGATGAGGGAGAATTTCATGGTTGCAGGTCGAGCAAGCTTTTCCTGAACAGAAAGAGCAAATAATTAATTTCAGTTTCTGGTCATATAAATGTACATTAAGAATCAACAGCAGAGTTTGACATTACCATGCATATAATGTAGCTGTAATCTTACCTTGCTTCCAGGGGTTCTTAGAGCTGATGGTGTGTTCTCCAATGAGCCATGGGTTTATATAGTCTTGGGACAAGTTCAAAGGGTGACCTGTGCTGATGAAATCATCCACACACAACGAACCTTTAGGCTCTAACTGACACTGAAGTGACTGAATCAAAGTTCAGCAGTAATCTCTTTTACTCTTTGTGCTCAAATGATGCATTTTGTGATGTTTCAAATCCCCTCATGTGATTACTTTTATGCGAGGATATATTGAGGGAATATTAAATATATTAAAAGAATCATACCTAATTCATTAATGAAGCACATTTCAATATCTTTGTCTTTATGGTGCTTAAACTCTCAGAACACTGGAAAGGTAAATCTAGGTTATACTGTGTGTGACCCATACAACCTTACTAACAGTCTCAACAAGTCTTACTTAAGTGAATAGTTCTTTATTTATTTTACTAGATGTTCCTACTTTTAATAGTCCATGGAAACCTAATCCTATTAATCCTTCATAAATCTATGATGTAGAGTTTCATAAATTTCATAGACAAAATTGGTTTTCAAACTGGGGTCTGGGGACCATCAGAGGTCATAAAGAGTGCAGAGGGCCCATGGAAAAGTCAGTGAAGTTAGTGGGGGGAAAAAAGTGTAAATTAAGATAAATAAATCAACTTGATTCACTAAATAAATTTGGTTAATACATAAAACATTCAATTTAATTAATATACATACATAAATCTAAGAGTACAATAGTGAATAGAAAAAAAATGATGTAACGTAATAAAAACGAAATATTTTCCAAATATATTTGACACATTTATAGGTGTAAAAAAACTTGGTAAAAACATCAAACTGCCATGATAATTTTATGAGTTCCTTGGCCTCTAAAAGTTTGACATAGTAGGCTAAGTCGACTTTGAATGAAGAAAAGTAATGACAAACAATTAGGAGACATCAGATCACATGCTTTGACTTACACGTCCACACTGTCCAGCTCAGCTGTTATTCTATCACAGACTGATTGGGTTTATCTAAGACTGTGGAGTGCGGACAATATCTACAGTCAGGTATTTCTGGTTATCTTGTCTCCATTTGCCTAAAAAAGGGATTATTAGAGTACAACGTTAGAAACAAACACTGAACTTTACGCTCAGATGATGTTGGGCTTGCTTAAAGTAGATTTAGATTATCGTGAATTATGAACTTTATCATCAGTGTTGTATAAAATATGTTAAATCAGAATCAGAATCAGAATTAGCTTTATTTGCCAAGTTATTTGCCAAGGAATTTGTTGTGGTTTTTAGGAGCTCTTGGTACATACATAGGCCTACATACATACATACATTCAGACATACACACACACACACACACACACACACACATACACACATATATATATGGCATGAGAACGGAAAGAACAATTATATAAGACATAATACATAAAAAAAATTGATTAAGGAGAATGATAAACAGTTTCATTAATTCAATCTTTTTAGAATTGTGTCTAAATTGAAGTGACAGTAGCCTATCAGAGACTCACTAAATAAAAAAGACACCAAGGCATCTTTTTTTTTAGCTGTAGTAATTAATAAATAAAAGTTTCGATTAAAGTTTATTTGTGTTTTTTATGTTTAATTAATAAAATGTTTAATTCCTGCCCTATTTGTTCTTGTTTGTTATCTACAGGTACATCTAAAAAAATTAGAATATCATGAAAAAGGCCAATATATTTTTTCACTCATTTCAGAAAGTGAAACCCATATATTATATAGGTTCATTACACATAGAGTGAAATATTTCAAGCCTTTCTTTCTTGAAATGTTGATGATTATGGCTTACAGATAATGAAAACCTAAAATTCAGTGTCTCAGAAAATTTGAATATTGTGAAAAAGTTCAATATTGGAAAGTCATGGTGTCACACCCTAATCAGCTAATTACCTCAAAACACCTGCAAAGGTTTCCTGAGCCTTTAAATGGTCTCTCAGTCTGGGTCAGTAGGCTACACAATTATAGGGAAGACTGCTGACTTGACAGATGTCCAGAAGACAGTCATTGACACAAAAGTTCATTGCTAAAGAAGCTGGTTGTTCACAGAGTGCTGTATCCAAGCATATTCATAGAATGTTGAGTGGAAGGAAAAAGTGTGGTAGGAAAAGGTGCACCAGCAAGAATTTGGGGGAGCTTCACAAGGAGTGGACTGAGGCTGGTGTCAGCGCATCAAGAGCCACTACGCACAGACGAATCCTAGACATGGGCTATTTTTTATTGATCTTATGTAATATTCTAATTTTCTGAGACACTGAATTTTGGGTTTTCATCATCTGTAGGCCATGATCATAAACATTTCAAGAAATGAAGGCTTGAAATATTTCACTCTATGTGTAATGAATCTATATAATATATGGGTTTCACTTTCTGAAATGAGTGACAAAAAATATTGACCTTTTTCATGAAAATCTAATTTTTTTTAGATGTACCTGTATATTGGGTTGTGTAATTGTTTCAGCGACGCTACTGTCTCCTCCAAAACAACAGATGGCGGAGTACTCGAACTGTATGTGACGCACACAAGTCGAATAAGACGCAGCGTCGCATTGAGTGTTCTGCGCATGCTCGCAGCCACGTTCACTCACTCTGCTCACAATCAGGCGTTATGGCGGATGTACTGGACCTTCATGAAGCGGGAGGTGAAGACTTTCCTATGGACGAGGATGGCGACGGTACAGTGGCTGTTTATATTCAAACGGTGCACAGACAGTTTATTTATTTCATATAGCCAGGATTCTCCAGTTTATTAGTGTTGAATGTTTGAAATGCTCGTGTTTATATCCGGCGGGCCTAGTCCGATTAGCGCGCCTGCTAATAGTTAGCTAATTCAAACGAGTCGCGCGCTGTTGTGATAATGCTTTATTTTGTTGCCGTGCTTTGGTTGTAGCTTTAACACGTGTTACTTTTTTCATGTTTATCATGGCCAAACATAATTAAATAAATAAATATTGTGTACTCGGTAAGCACGCAGGCTCATTGCGTTTGTGTTTTAGTGCTTCATTTTTAAAGACAGTATTCTATTGCGGTGTTCTGTTTTAGTTCATTTTTATGTTCTCTTAAAGTTGTCTTTAAAAACGTTCGTTCAGTACTTTCGAATGCATGGTAAGAGTGATTATTTTCCTTTGTTGACTTTACAGAGAGCATTCACAAGTTAAAAGAGAAAGCCAAGAAGAGGAAGGGTCGTGGGTTTGGATCAGGTAAGTGACCAGCTCCGATCTTGTGTTTTGGCGTCTTAAAGGGGTCATACGATGCTTTTTTAAAAGATCATTATTTGGTGTAACAGAATATGTTGACATTCTTTAATGTAAAAAAAAACACATTCTTTTTCAAATACTGTACATTATTGTAGGTCCTCTATGCCCCGCCTCTCTCAAACGCTTCGTTTTCTACAAAGTCCCTCCTTCCGACAAGCGCAGTCTGCTCTGATTGGCCAGCTGACCCAGTGCATTGTGATTGGCCGGACACCGCAAGCACTCGTCGGAAATGTAACGCCCCTTACCATAATCGCGAGCTTCATCTTTCAAAATAAATGTAAAGACAGAGCTCGAAAGGGGAATAGAGGCTCCTGACAGACACAGTGATGAAGCTGGTATGTGTTTGCAGTACACAAGCCACGGTTAAGACGGCTGACTCCACTGTGATGTGACCCCGTCTCGCTCTCTCTCAAACACACGCACGCACAATGCGCAAAACTCCGCATTTGAACAGTCAATAGCAAATACTTAAACTAATAACAAAACAGTAGCTGATTCAGAAGCGCCAGATTGTCATAGCAAAGTCAGAATTACCTCCTCTCCTAGGTTCACGAAACGGTCGTCCATAAAATGCATTGCTGTTCTGTTGTAAGTAATCTTAAAGATTCCTAAATGCATCTACTTTCGGAAGACCAAATAAAGTGCTTTTGCTTTCTCCTAGAAACACACAGCGTCTCCCTGACATGCTGCTTCAACACTAACTGCGGTTACTGAAACCACGCCTTCTTTCTTTGAGTGAACATTTGGGTGGCATTATGCTAATATTTCCACATAGTGAGGTAGATATGTGGGGGCGTGTTAGAACGAGCCGTTTTAGGGGGGCGTGGCAGTGTCTTAACTTTGATAAAGAATATCTCTTTGGTTTTGAGACTTTAGTCTTTGTAACTTCAGGGATCTTATCTATGCACAATCAGCTTGTAACACTCCAAAGAGAAAGGAAAACTTGAAATCGCATCATATGACCCCTTTAATAAATCATGTGCTAATGTTGTTCGCTGCTTTATTTAACAGAGGAGGGAGCGAGATCTAGAGTCAGAGAGGACTATGACACTGTAGAACAGGATGGAGATGAGCCAGGGCCACAGAGATGTGAGTGAATCTAGCAGAACAACATAGCATCTGAACTCTCTCACTTGACCTCTGTGACCTCATGATGATAGAACTCAAGTGGCTGCGATTTGTTTTTTTTAAATATTTTTGGTGTCATTACAGCTGTTGAAGGATGGATTCTGTTTGTGACTGGTGTGCATGAAGAGGCGACCGAAGAGGATGTCCACGATAAGTTTGCAGAGTATGGCGAGATTAAAAACGTGCATTTAAATTTGGACAGAAGAACCGGTTACCTTAAGGTTGGTTGGCAGTTTTCCCCCCTCTTGTTCAGTGAAATGTCTGTAAATGAAAATTTGATATGTTGCACGTTTGCATAATTTTTTTTTTTTTTTTTGAAGGACCACTTGTCTGTATATGACAACAAAAAAACAGTAGTCAACATTTGAAGTGGATCAAAACCTTTCGTCAAAGTTGTCCTTAAACCACAAACCAAAATGAGTTCTTGTCTTAGGACAACATATAATACTCTTATGTGATCTTATGAATATTTTATACCTGAATGTGCTTGAGTTTGTCCACCAGATGGCAGTGTTTTAAACAACACAATCTCAAAAAGACCATGAGTTTAGTTGGTGATTCATATAATATTGATGCTTTCTTGTTTTTAAGCTTTCCAGTAATTAACTTAGACAATGTTTATAATGTTATTTTCCATGACGAGAGATTTCCTTTAGGTTAAGGTATGGTTGTAGCAGCTTTGCATGTGACTAGGGTTGCGCATCTTTAATATTTTGACTATTTAAGCACTTTCAGTAAACTTGAGCAGTGGGGAGGGAGAGAAAGCAACTTTAGTTTGTGCTATTTTATTATGTGCACATGTCAGATGAAGTTCTTTGGTCAATGTGTCTAATATGGAGTGTTATGTTAAAAAGTTAAACTAAGAAAAACTCAACTCCTGTGTCCTTTGTGCTCTGTTTAGCTGTTTTTGCTCATGTGAATTTGAATACTCAGATATTGTTTTGTGCACATCTGATTTCTGTCATCAAATTGTTTTCTATACATCATTGCCATTGAGAACCCCACTTTGGTAAATCAACAAATGTGTCCATGTTTTTGCCATCAGGCTTGTTTTCTCAGGTCAAGCTGACACATGTTAATGCATAAAATGTTTAGTTTGGCCTGTTTCAAGACAAAGAATGTGAAAGGCCGTTCTGGAACCAGGCAACCCAATGGAAAAACATCTCTTTTGTGGGCGTCGTGTTGTTTGAAACATTATCTTGGCAAATAATGAGACTTGTTTTTCATAGGGCTATGCACTGGTGGAGTACGAGACCTACAAAGAAGCCCAGGCAGCAATGGAAGGGCTGAATGGCCAGGACCTTATGGGGCAACCAATCAGCGTTGACTGGTGCTTTGTAAGAGGACCCCCTAAGAGTAAGAGGAGGTGAGTCAATTTCTGATCCTGTTAAACTGCATTTATATACTCGGACTGTTTCACTCGCTCACACAAACTTCATTTGTAGTGGATATCTGTCTTCTATTGAATTTGTTAATGATGCAGGCCGTAATACAACATGACTAATGGACCGCTGTGCTTTCCTCTAGGGGTGGAAGAAGACGCAGCAGGAGCCCTGACAGGCGGCGACGTTGATTTTCCAAGTTTTTGACTCCAGTGTCTGTTTCCCAGCAAGGGTGGCATTGTTTTTCAAGATAGTTCGGAGTAAGATTGGAGTGGCGTGTATCTCTTTAAATTGAGGCTTTTAGTGTTTTTGAGGGGGGGGGGGGGGGG